AGCTTGCTACAATGCCGATCGATCCAGCGCGTGTGCACTAGATCCCATGGGTGTGAAGAAGAAGAAGAGAAGAAGAGATTGGATTTATACCCCGCCCTTCACTACCCAAAAATGTCTCAGAGCGGCTTACAAACTCCTTTCCCTTCCCCTCCCCACAACAGACACCCTGTGAGGTAGGTGGGGCTGAGAGAGCTCTGACAGAAACTGCTCTTTTTCAAGAACAGCTCTTATCAGAACTACGGTTTGCCCAAGGTCATCCAGCCAGGTGCAAGTGGAGGAGTGGGGAATCAAACCCGGTTCTCCCAGATTAGAGTCCGCACACTTAACCACTACACCAAACTGTGAATGCACAGATGACCACTCGAAGATCACCAGTTACACGTAAGCAACCTGTTTTTCCCTTTGGTAGTCGCTTTGCTGCCATAACAGCACAAGCATAAAGAAGTTAAGTTCATTTGTTTCCAGTAACACTTTTACCACCCTAATAGGAAGCAACTGTTGGGTGCTTTCCCCCCGTATGGTATTCACAGATGTGGTTTTGAAAAAAATCTGATAATCCCTTGGCAGGTACATATGTTCAAGCACCAGACAGATGAAGACAATAGCTTGGATCCAGTGGAGTATTTCCACAGTTGGAAGCATGTCCACTTGCAGAGCACAACTTTCTTGTCTTCCCTTTCCTACTGCAGCCCAAAATACTCCTTGAAATTTGGCTGCAGTGGCAGTGGAGGTGAGAAATGTGTATTCTGTGGCCAGAATCCTTCCACCTGTGGAGACACTGTTGGATCCAAGCCAGTGGTCTGAATGCTGCCACTCAGCTCAGTTTAAAGCCTTCTTTTAGTCCAAGGGGTGTTCCTCCAACAGAAGTGGGTCTGCCTCTGGCAGAAGAACCACTTCCAATGGAAGAAGGCTTCATGCTTTGCTAAGCCAAGCAGCAGCAGTCATACAGACCAACATGTGAATCTGCTCTTATTCACTCATCCCACCATCTGACCTGGATATAAAGCCTGATAATGGATCTTCATTCTTACTTGCATCTGACAAAGTTAGCTTTGACTCATGAAAGCTTATATCCTGGAAATCTTTGTTTATCTCTAAGGTGCTACTGGACTCAAATTTTGTTCTACCTTTATTCAGAAATCCTTCTGTTAGTTCAGGTGTTCTGCTTCCATAACAAGCAGTGTGGCTAGCTATCTGCGTCTCTGTGTGTGCAATATATATGCGTGTGTGTATACAATGTTTTTATATATAGATATATATACACAAACACACACATACATACACACACACAAATGATGTCATTGTAATTCAAACAAAAGAAGTGAAACTTTTCCCCCTGTTAGGCTGCAAAGTATGCTTTCAATAGAAGGCTCTCTGAAAATATTTCTCTGCTGTCGTCTCTTGGCATTAGCAATGCGAACTGGTTTTGTCTTCCTTCACTGCATCTGATTCAGAAAACAGGTGACAGCAAACCGTTCCAATGTCATCTGTGCCTTTCAATTATTTGACAAACCCCAGGAGCTAATTACAGCGCTCCAGCTCTCCAAGAATCAGCTGACTTCAGCATGAGACTGCTTTGGCCTCCCCCAGGGGCTTGTGAATAATTGTCTATTTGTGGGAAATGAATTAATTCCTCTTGTGATTTATATTTAAATCTAGGAGTGTGTTTTGATGATAACACATATAGGGAAGGAAGAATACAGATGAAGGGCAGTAAATAACAAAAGTGTGGTAAATAATGGATTTGGATCTCAGTTTTGTTTTTAAAAACACATACACCCAAACTGATTCTTACATGGAAACATTGACAGTGAACTCACAGTGAATTAATACAAAGAGGATTTTAGCTGTTATTATAAGTCATAACAAAGACTCCTTGAATCACCAGGAAAAGTGGGGTAAAATGTTTTAATAATAACTAAAATTGCTTTTTAATTGCTTTTTGAAGGTAAACATTGTTTCAAAACATATATATTTTAATGGATATTTAATTTAATAGAGGCATGTGGGGAAAATTGAAAATACCAGTAATACATAAAATTGCTTTTTAATTGCTTTCTGAAGGTAAAAATTGTTTCAAAACATATATATTTTTAATGGATATTTAATTTAAAAGAGGCATGTGGGGAAAATTGAAAATACCGGAGAGGATGCCCAAGCACAAGGCTCACTGAAGGGGCTTGTAAAGCTGGCTTTTGTATGAGAGACAGAGAATCAGTTCATCTAAATTAATTTTCTGTAATTCCAGCATCTGCCAGCTAGTTCTGACTGTCTATATAAGATCCAGTTGTATTTTGTTCAGCTCATTGCAATGTGACCTTGCAAAATGGTTCATGGTGTTCCAAAGCATCCGTAGTTCACTTCTAGCAGCACTGAAAGGTGATTAGACAAATTCATGGAAGTCATGTCTTATCAATAGCTGCTAACCATGATGGCTAAATGGAACTTCTGGGTTTAGAGGCAACATGTCACTGAATGCCAGCTGCTGGGAGGCAATGGCTATTTATTTCATTACCAGGTCTGATCAATGGACAAAGAAGTTTGGGAAAGAGGAGAGTAATGGAAGGAGAGTAATATGCAACATGATGTACCAGCAAGGATAGCTTGGCTTGTGCACAGCATAGTCAAGGTTCAACACTTGTCATAGCAATTTCAGTCAAAAAAATTTTTTCAGGTGGTTTCCACATGGGTTATTTGCCCTGGGTTCTGTGCTGTTGGGAAGCAGGGTTTTTTTTCATGCCTCCTCACAGCATCATGGGGCATTTATGCACTTTCCAGGTTTCCCCTGGCTTTCCTGCCCTCTTTCCCAAACTTCTTTGTTCATTGATCAGACCTAGTAGAGAAAACAGTAGCCATCCCCTCCCAGCAGCTGGCATTCAGTGACACATTGCCTCTAAAACCTAGAGGTTCTACTTAGTCATCATGGTTAATAGCTATTGATAGAGAAGTCTTCCATGAGTTTGTCTAATCACCTTTTAAAACTGTCCAAGCAAATGGCTTTCACTAAAACATGTGACAATTCCATGAATTAGTTGTATGTTGCGTGAAGAACTGTTTTCTTTGTCTGTCTTGAATCTCCTGCCGATCAATGTAGTTTCCTTTATGGACAGGTCACCTCAGGGAAAGTATAGGCGAACCACCAAGACAGGTCTTTCATAATCAAAATCCAGCTCTTCCCCCCTCCGTACCACATTTTCAAGCTCAATTGGGCCCCAGGATGCTTGGGAACATTAGCTCCCTGATGTTAGGTATGACTGCAAGTCTGGTTGGGGGATCCCTAACTCAGCTGTTGTCACGCATATCATCTAGTTTGGCTCAAAATCTGAAATAGAAGCTTTTACAACCCTCCTAAAAGCTGGCTGTAAGGGGCTCTGTTGGACCTTCTGCCAAAGTCCATTCTCCAGTCAATGGACAGTAATGGAGAAGGTGCAAGTACAGGTCATAGTCAAGCATAGTTGGTGTTTGGGCTCATGATCCCACTTTATTTTCACAAGTATTGTCTTGTTCAAGGTTCATCCAGGATTTAAACCCACATCTCCCTGATCCAATCTGCATGCAGTAAGCTATATTACATTACATTGGATCTTAATCTGTGTGCCGATTACAGTTGGTCATCAGTTTAGAGAAGCATAATATTTTGCACCTGAAACAAACCACTGCAAAGAAGTGTAAAGTACTTTAGTTCAGTCTGATCAAATCGTTGACTCACCAGCTGTTTTCTTCCATTTACCAATTCAGATCAGCTGTTTCATGTTTTGGCTATGCACATGCGACTCTACAGTATCGATTCTGCTTACAACCCATGGAAGAAGCTAACTCAGCTGATGGAAGACAAGAATCTGCAGTAAGTACAGTTCTTTGGAAAGACATCTCTGTGTGAAGCTTTAGCGATTTAATGGTTCTGTGAGGTAAATTGGCACAGAAGTGAGAGATTGGTATATATGATGCAAGTTACTGATAGGCCCTCAGAGGTGTAGCTGGAAAAGAGAAGAGTGGGCATTTTTCACAGGCAGAAGAAATATGGATGGTCTTACTCTCGCTTGGCATCCATTTGTATACATGTACGTTGAGAGCCAGTTTGGTGTAGTGGTTAGGAGCGTGGACTCTTAATCTGGGAGAGCCAGGTTTGATTTCCCACTCCTCCACATGCAGCCGCTGGTGTGACCTTGGGTCAGTCATAAGTTTTATCAGAGCTGTTCTCTCAAGGACAGTTCTCGAGAGAGCTCTCTCAGCCCCACCTACCTCACAGGGCGTCTGTTGTGGGGAAGGGAAGGGAGTTTGTAAGCCGCTCTGAGACTCCTTTGGGTAGTGAAGGGCAGGGTATAAATCCAATCTCTTCTCTCTTCTTCTTCATGACAAAAGCATTTTGTATGTAAACAGAGTTGCTAGCTGATAATTTTTAACATTTTCAAGTAATGCTAGTTCAGCCAGCAAGGGATCAGGCAGTTCTGGATTAAAACAAACAGAACAAATAGGTGACTAATTTGTCAGGTTTTTCAGTATTGCAGAGTAAAATTTGGTGTTCGGCAACAAACTCTTCGTGGAAACTTGGCACATATTGATTCATTTTACAACCATTCTGCTTTATCACCAGCAGAAGTTACATTAATTTGCTTTTTATTAACTGCTGCTGTGGCACCGTGTTTTGGGGAGTCACACTTATCAGCCTCCCTCATACAAGCCAGGGGATTAGCCGGATGGATCATTTTTGTGCTCTGTACAGACTTTTTAAATACAATTTCAGTGTCATGATGATGAAGAATTTGCTTAGGTTTTTAGTAAATGACAGAGCAGTTTTTAAGTATTTACTTAATGTGCTCTGGTGCTTGACATAAACTAAAGAAGCTTATCTAAACTCTGGCATTTTATATAAATTTACTTTGACAGTTCTTGCAGAATGAGTAAATGTAGGCAAATGGTTCACTTGTTCCACATTTTTGTAATGTTGCCAGACACCCTCCTATTTTGTGCAAGCTGAAATTTATAATTGATAATTTGAGAAACTGGTGTTTGACTTGAACCTTATATAATGGCATTGTTTCAGTAGAGAAGAAAAATATAACTATTGGAGTACAAACTTCAGGCATCGGGCATCCTGTTTTTTTCCTGTTTGGAAGCTGATAATTTGAAAACTGTTCTTAATTTTAAGTTTAGCAGCTTATTGAAATGTATCTGAAACAGATCGGCCTCTTACAATAGAACAGGAAGATTGCAGTGACTAAATAATAACAATTTGGTGTAGTGGTTAAGTGCTCGGATTCTAATCTGGGAGAACCGGGTTTGATTCCCCACTCCTCCACTTGCACCTGCTGATATGACCTTGGGTCAGTTACAAGCTCTGGCACAGCTGTCCTTGAAAAAGAGCAGTTTGTGTCAGAATTCTCTCAGCCCCACCCACCTCACAGAGTGTCTGTTGTTGGGAGGGGAAGGGAAAGGAGTTTGTAAGCCACTCTGAGACTCCAAGTGAAGGGCGGGGTATAAATCCAATCTCTTCTTCTTCTTCTTCTTTTTAGTTTATTTGTTTGCATAGGGTCATTTTTAATGTTTGTATATATATTTGTGTCCATGTACCTTCCACTGAATTTTTTGACACAGCAGCTCTGCTGAAGAGGCAAGCCACTTAAACCAAGCAGTGACTTGCTTCTTTGAGAGTGGAAGTTGAGACAATTCCTTTTTATAGAAATGCAGCTGCTGTCTGTCGTCTGGTATGCTTACAATTAAATGAGACTGCACTGATTAATATTTATTTTATTTATTTATTTTCATATTTATAGCCCACCCTTCCCGCAAGCGGGCTCATATAATTATTCACATAATCGTTCCCCTAATTTTTCAGGATGTGCGGTGAAGATCAGCCAGAGGTTCCAGTGCTTTACAGAGATGTACTTTCCCTTTTGCTCATCCAGATTTTGACCATGCCACAGCCATTGCACAAAGGTATGTTACGCAAATCCATAAATAATGAACCTGGCACTGTGTGTATGTCTTCTCTCCAAGGCGGCTTTTCAAATATTTTAAAGGCACCCAATCAGACACTTGCCTAGTGCACATGCTCAAATAATGACTTTGCTTTAGCTCTGGAAGTTGGCATGGAACAGAAAATTTTGTTTTGGTTTAACAGGCTTATCCGTGACTCCTGTCTTCTCCCTTTTATCAGACAATAGTACAGTAAAAACTGAGATCTAAAAATAACTATTAAATTCCTTGAGTTGGGGGGGGGTTTCCTCTATTTGACCTTCATCCTCTTTGCTTTAGTGGAAATGCTCTACATTTCTCATTGAACTGTGAACGCCTGAGGGTGAAAGAATAATTTATTTTAATTTAACAGCTTGAACTTTAGCAATTCTAATATTACAACAAAGATAATTGCTGTAATATAGTTTATGTAATGGGCTGCATATATGAATTTAAATATAAGTTACTGGGATCCCAGGATGTGTTTGAAGGGTCGATTTTATCACTGGCCATTTGATTTGAAGCTTTTAACTTTATGATTTTAAAATACTGCCCTGATTCTTTTACCAAAAGGTTCTATATTCTGTATGGTCTGGCAGTAAAAAGTGTTACTTCTAGGAACTGCAGAAGTTTAAATTGCCATATCGCTGGCTCCAGCTGTGTTTTGTTTGACATCTGGCATATTCCATTAAGAGGCATAATCAGCTATGTAAGGAGCCTTTTGTCCCCTTGATGCATGAAGATAATGCCTGTTAGGGTGAATAAAAGCCTTAAGAAGTCAATTAGGTTGAGTATTCAACCAGAACTGTGTCTAAAATTGGAAAAGTATCATGATTTGAATATATCCTTTTAAAATTTTCTCTGGGTCATACAGAAAATGGGAGAATAGCTTAGTTATTTTATCATCCACTGGTTTGGTGAATTCTACTAAATTCCATAGTCAAATGGAGGAGTGCAAAATTACTTTGATTGTATAGGGTCTAGAATAACATGCTGGTGTGAACAAACCAGGGTTGTAGTCCTGTTTAGTTATGAAGATTACTAGGTAACCTAGCACAGGTCATTCTGTCTTTTCCTAGTCATGAGAAGTGAGAACATCTGAGGACTTAAGCCTTACCCAATGATTTGGACACCAGAAATTGCTGTAAATATTAATCATAGTTTATTTGGCCGTGGGTGGTAAAGCCTTGCAAACCAAAGTCAAAGGCGTGGGGTGCAAATGTTTTTAATCTTTACAGCACAGCATGATCTGTCAACAGCCTACTAACTATGATAGCTAAATGGAGTTAAAAGTTCAGAGCTGGTTAGCTTCAGTGAACCAGCTGGTGAGGGTGGGGGTACAGTAGGCGAGAGGTGTTAGCCACCTAGCTGGTCAAGAGTGGAAAGGACCACCGACAGAGTTGTGGCTTCTGTATTCATGGCAAGCTAGATTCGAGTCCAGGAGTACCTTAGACACTAGCTAGATTTTCAGGGGTATAAGCTCCCAAGAGTCAAAGCTCCTTTCTTGTTAGTCTCTAAGGTGCTCCTGGACTCAAATATAGCTCTTCTACTGCTGACCAATATGGCTACCCTCCGAAACGATATTCATGACAGTATGATGACTTAGACATCCCAAGGGCCAATGTGGGGCAGAAAGTATGGGGTTGGACTTGCTAGCATGGAGGCAATTGGATAACAAAGTGCTCAAACCTTTTAAAGAATTAAATGAAATGTTATTCAGTTAGATCTCTTTTAAATCATATGGGGTGACAGGATAAAAGTCCTGTTGTATATGTGTGCATTTACGCAGTGGTTTGATTGGGTTGCAAGGATGTTCGTTACTACACCAGTTGCTTATTCTCACATATTGCTTCACATGGATGTTTAATAAACCAGCATCATAAAATAGGAAGCTCTCTGCACTGAAACAGTTAAACATTTTCAGTGTCACTAAGAAAGGGAGGATCACAAAGAGAAGGAAATTCCTACATCAGTTGCACAAACGCACTGCATTACTAGTAGTTTTAAAGATGTCAGTCAGGTGAAGTGGGGTTCTATTTCCAGATCTGTGAGGCATCTGATTAATATTTCTAGAGTATTTAATTTTCTTTCTTTTGTCTTGTGCTGGAATAGCTGCCAGGTTGTCATTTGTAATAAGCTCTCTTTTGCTTTAAATATCTACATGGTATTCTGTGAGAAAATTAGCACTTAATAAGTGGTATCCAAATGGCAGTTCTTGTCCTTCAAGCACGGCCTTGGGAATTGTATTAACTATCTGATTAACTATTGAATGGCCTCAGTTATCTTTTTCAATCCAGCAATGATTAAGGCAAAATAAATGCCATTACATTGTTCAGACTCTTCATTCTGAGTAGAAAATTGATGTGAAACCACCTCAGAATAGAGAATACCATAAATCGAACCCGTCATTGTGGAGAGGTTCCATACTAGAACATTTTTAGGCAGTTTCCCCCCCCCCCCTCCATCATTTTTATCAGTGGAGAATTCGAAAGGGTAAGAGGATGTAAGTATTCTGTGGATTGTGTGTACCTGCTTGTGTAGTTTAAAGGATTATAACAGTATTGAAGATAGTTTGCTGAACATGTTAAAGTAGGCCACAAACAGAATGAGTATGTGTTCAAATATGTGGTAGTTTTCTCCACACACAATACGTGTATAATCATGTGAGTTTGCCATTCTTTGTCCATCAAACAACTAAACCCCAGCTAATGGTATAAGAGGGAGCTTGCTAGAGGAAGGGGAAAGGATAGGCTGTGTGATAAGAACAATGTTTCTGAATTAGTTAACTATAGCTACTGGGGAGCCAATATTGAGTCAGCACTGGCCCACTGTGGCAAAGAAGGCCAATGCTTTTTTTTAGCTTGTACCAGCAGGAACATCACTTCAGGTAATCTGCAAGTTGCCATGTTCTGCCCAGCATTAGTAAAACCTCACATGGGGTAGCATGTTCATTTTGAGACATCCCAACTTTACACATTGGAAAAAGGGTACATAGAAGAGCTACAGAGGACAACAGAGTAGAAGCCTGGTGCATTTGTGTGTGGATAAATCGGGGGTCGTATCTGAACTGCTGATCCATATTTACCCATTGAATTGCTTTCCAGTGGAGAAGCCTAAATGCCCAGATTCCCTGCGAAATTGGTTGCTGAGTTGTTTTGATGTTGCAGAGTCTCCTTTCCTCTCAGCAGAAAAAGCTTTAATGAAACATTGGCACAGTGAACATTTCCAGAGTAATTGAAATAGTGATTCCTTTTTCTTACTTTGCTTATCAGGCAGGCTCCTTTACTGAAGCTGTAGCCTTCCAGCACATGACATTTAACTTGGTATTTACTTGGCATTTGGGACTAGGCAGCAAGACAGAATGTGCTGAGTTTTTGTAAGTGTCCCTTTCTGAAGGCAGTCCTTTAGATTAGAACCTTGTTAAAGTTGACGGTTTCTGAGGGGAACCTAACGCGTCTGCAAAGTTTTCTGCAGGCATATTTACCTCTAGAGCAAATACTAGTTTCCAAATTATTCTGTGAGTTGCACATTATGCTCAGTTTGCTTTACCCTGTGTAATAAGAGTGCTTTGGGGTACAGATGATGTAGTAAGAAGCCCCTCATGAGCAATGTTCCCTCTAAGCTGAGTGAGTGTGAGCTAGCTCACAGTTTTTTAACCGCTGGCTCACACATTTTTGTCTTCGCTCAGAAAGAATGACTCCAAAGCAAACTGATTTACGCAGTAGCCAAATTGCTCGCTCACAACTTTAATGCCAGTAGCTCACAAAGCTGATTTTTTGCTCACAAGACTCCACAGCTTAGAGGGAACATTGCTCATGAGGTGTATTCAGGGTCCTCATATCTACTTGGGCACACAGCCAGTGCTCTAGTTAAACCTCAAAATGGAATTATCATTGGTTTACAAAAGATGTGAATTCCTTGTACTGTTTTCTGATGGAAGACTTTATGTCTTTTCATCTCATTATTCTGGTCCTGTTTTCAGGACATATTTAATCGTCCAGATGGTGCAAAGATTATCAATTTGTATATTTGTCTGTGTTTTTATTTATACTCCTCATCTAACTTATAAAAGGTATCAACAAAAACAAAGCCATAAGATCACACGTTGTAAACAGAAGACCGTCATTTATAGCAGCTTTAAATAGTTGATTTAAAATAGCAGTTGTAAATATAACACTTCTGTCTTGCAGGTATGGCTGTCTTGACATGCAAAGCATAAAACAATACATTAAAAATGCAACTGGGTGCATATGGATTACCCAGTTAGAAAAAATTTTATTCGCAAATTTACAGGGTGTATAATTGGGCTATAAAATGTGAGACTTAATTTGAAATGCCCAAATGACAGTGTCTATTTTTCTCTTTTTATAGAACACTTTACCTGTATCATAAAGGTGCTTTTCACATTATTGTATATACAAGCCCTCATCGCACTTTCTGTTAAAGGCAGCACTGATGACAGGACAACTTGGATGAACTCAGGAGCTTTGAAAAAGGTTTGTGAGTTTATGATGATATGTGGATAGATTGCTAAATCTGCACTTCTGCCCCTTATGCAAACTGAAGTCACTTTGTTTTCATTGCATCTTAATGTTTTCATTGCATCTTAAATGTATTTAACTCTGTACTGTGTTGTCGTCCGAATCTGTCTTAAATTCATTCCTATGTTTCCCAAGAACAGTCTTATGTTTGAGATAGTATCATCTCTCCTTGTTGGACAATAGAGTCACTTTTCAGCGACTCCCTGATGTGCTGTCCTGTCTTTTGAGCAGTCTTTTGTGGAGTTCCTCAGATCTCTTTCCATTCTGCAGGCTGCTTAGTTTTACTTTACTTTCTGTGTTTTGGGCATCTGTTCAGTTTTCAGAAATGGTTTTCCTCTTTATTTCTTCCAGCATGAAATAGGAGAGTCAGTTCTAATTTTCAAATTGTAGTTCCTTTTTATAATAGTAAAGGTGGTGGCACCGGCTTGTGGCAATCACAAAAGGCAGCAAAACCACAACACCCACTGACAAGGGAGGGGTTTCTGCATACTTGGGGGAGGGGCTCCCAAGGTGTGTACAACAATTTTGATTTTGTAAATCACACACACAAAAAATCGAAAGGCCAGATAATCTCAGCGAGGCATGGAGCGCTGAATTCAATTGAGAGTCAGGCAAAAATAATGCAGAAGGGGATGGCTTGCTCCAGCCCTTGGGAGCTTATAGAATCCTGGAGAGGACACTCCTCTGTGGGGAGGGGGGGATTTTTATTCCTTTCTCCTGTCTCCTTGCTGGCCCCCAGCCATTTCCCTCTAATTCCGAACTTCATAGTTGATCTCTTTTCAGTAGGGCAGCAAAATGGAACCACTCATACAGCCAGGAGCAATTTCTGGGTACCTGAGAAGACTCCCAGATGAACACCAGAAAAATGACTTTCTCCTGAGCATGCTCCGTGATGGGGCACAGAATATTATCATAAGTTATATATCACTTACGATAACATTCTGTCTCAAAGCAGGGAGGAAAGAAGAACAGAGTGAGGGGAGGGGAAACTGGCCTGCTTGAATCCCTGCCAGTTTACGGTATGCTGGAGAGATCAGGATTGCATCATTCATAACATGAGGCACGCATCCCTAGGCCTTAATGCCCTGGCCCCTGCCAGTACAGGATGCTATGAACTTTAGAAGGTTCTGTCCACCTTGCAGCTCAAACACAACAGTCCCATAGTTTGGAGGAATTCATTTTTAAATTCAAAACGGGCAGAGACCCTGATAGCTGAAGGTATCTTGACAGGGGAGATGAAAATAGCATGTCATGAAAGGGCCGAAAACATCCTAGTCCTGCCATTGTACCACTCACATTTAGGGCTTCCTGCTTACCTCACTCCAAACAGCACCAGTCAAGGAAGCTGAGTTACTGTGGTAGACTGCTGAGGTTCAAGGCTAAGTGAGTAGGAAGACAGTAATCTAACCCAGACCTTAGCCTGGTTGCACTATGGGAGGCATTTTCTAATCGTTTATCCCTTCTTTGTTCCCCAACCCCTTGCAGGACCCAGATTTGTTGGGTAATAAAAATGGGTGGTGTGTCCATAAGACCTTCAACATCATTTCATTAATACCGGTATAATGAATATAATATAATTTCATTAATATTAATATTCATTTTATTAATATAAAATCGAAGGTATGTGAACAGAACATCAAAAATAAGAAGCAGCAGTAGTGTAGATTTGATAGCATGAGAGGTTCCCTGTTATGCAAATGTGGACATGGTTTGGCAGAAGATTGCACAGTGTAGCGCCAGTTTGGTGTAGTGGTTAAGTGTGCGGACTCTAATCTGGGAGAACTGGGTTTGATTCCCCACTCCTCCACTTGCACCTGCTGATGTGACCTTGGGTCAGTCACAAGCTCTGGCACAGCTGTCCTTGAAAAAGAGCAGTTTGTGTCAGAGTTCTCTCAGCCCCACCCACCTCACAGGGTGTCTGTTGTGGGGAGGGGAAGGGAAAGGAGTTTGTAAGCCGCTTTGAGACTCCTAGTGAAGGGCGGGGTATAAATCCAATCTCTTCTTCTCTTCTTCTTCTTCTTCATTATACGTGTTCCCATTGTATGCTGACTGTTGCAACACCTAGTTATACTGTTGTTTACTGCGGAAATTCTGCTGTCAGAATGTTATGAAACCTGAGTTTAAAGCAGATCGATTCTATATTATATCCAGTTTGTTGCTATAAATGACATGGCAGTTGATAGACACTGTTATATATTGGAGACCATAACGCTGAAGCAGATTGCAAGCACTTCTCGCTTTATATTCTTTCACGGACAATTTGATAAATATAGCCTATTTTCCCCCTTAATAAAATACAAATAGTAAGTCAGATTTTATCGGGACATATATTTAAAAGGGCCCAACTGCTGTCTGTAATGAAATATATATATATTTTTCATGAAAATATGGCATACTTGAGAGATGGCTTTTTCATGCCAAGAACAAAGAAGCCTAGTCAAATAGATATTTAAAGGATCTTAAAAGTATATGCAGGACATAAGACAGTAGGAAAATGTTTCTGCAACTTTTAAACGATGCTCTGTTCTGATAATCTCAATATAATGCCTTATAAATAAGAGCAGTACTTACAGTGGCTGGAATCCAGAAATCTCCTTTAGGGTCACCTGAAGACTTGTGGAATTTTTGACCTTTTTCCTTTGAACCATTATGCCTGTTTGTGAGCTCTGTGAATACAAACAAAGAGCACGCCATTAATTTTGCTGTGGGGTATAGAGCCATGCATGCAAAAAATTGACATCCTCTGGTGAAGAGAATGGAGAAGCCCTTATTGGTAAAGAGCTCCACGTGTGCACTAGAGCTTCTGTATCCTGGGCCTGAGTCAGATTGGGTTGGGGCTCCCTCTCCCGACTTCGATGGGGCTCCTTTGGTGCCATCGTCGGAGGTTAGGAGTTTGGGTGTGCTCCTGGACTCCTCCTTAACGATGGAGGCCCAGGTGGCAGCCACCGCCAAGTCAGCCTTTTACCACCTTCGGCTGGCGCAGCAGTTGGTTCCTTTCCTCGACCGAGATGACCTGGCTACAGTGATCCAGGCGACGGTCACCTCAAGGCTAGACTACTGTAACGCTCTCTACATGGGGCTGCCTTTATCGCATATTCGGAAGCTGCAGCTGGTGCAGAATGCTGCAGCAAGGCTGTTGATGGGTCTCACTAGACGGGACCACATCCGGCCTGTGCTGAAAGTGCTGCACTGGCTGCCAATGGCGTACCGGATTCGCTTCAAAGTGCTGGTTTTAACCTTTAAAGCCCTATATGGCCAGGGTCCGGCTTACCTAAGGGACCGCCTTTCCCCACATGTTCCCCCAAGGGCACTACGGTTGGGAATCAAAACCTCCTGGATATCCCAGGCCCCAGAAACATCAAATCTGCTGTCACCAGGGCCAGGGCGTTTTCGGTGGCGGCTCCTACCTGGTGGAATGAGCTCCTAGAGGAGATCCGGGCCCTGCAGGACCTGGTGCAGTTCCGCAGGGGCTGTAAAACAGAGCTCTTCCACCAGGCTTTCGAGTAGGAGCCGCCGCCACCATTATTCCACCATCACCCCTCATCTCCGCACCTTGACCATCGGTGGAGTGGGTATTATTGGGGGCGTGAGACGTTCCTTGGCAGATGACAGTGCAGTTGGGATGCACATGGTTGGTTGTTGTTCTGGTATAAAAACTCCAGAACCCCATCTTGAAATCTACAGTTACGAAATTCTGGAGCACCGATATTTTTTAGTGTATTATGCATATTGTATTTTATATTGTTTGATATTGTTCATTGTTTTAACCAGGCATTTATGCCCCTTGTGAGCCGCCCTGAGCCTTCGGGGAGGGCGGGATATAAATGTAATGATAAATAATAATAAAAAAATAAACTTACTCTTCACAACAGAATGTGTCCAATGCAAAAACATCTCCTGAAGCGTTACTGAGTCATGTGATTAGTGAACTCTCCAAAGGGAAGGTGTACGATCAAGAGGAAACCGAAGATCTATCCATGGTAAGGGTTACATATTTCAGTGTATAAAGCACAGGTTTCAGTAACAACTAATTAAATATCGGATAAATATGAATTTTTAATTCTTTGCTAATAACAATGTGATAGCAAATTCCTTATATGCAAGAGAGAATCTACACTAGTCAGGAGCTAATTTTTCCCTCATTATCCTGTTTTAGGATAGCAATAGTGCTTGGTGTCCACACTCCATAGAGACTTATTTGCAGCAATTCTGCCTGCCTTTCCTCAGGATAACTAGCCTTCTTCAGCACCATCTTTTTGGAGGAGAGTTACCCAGCTGTCAGGTATGATGAGAAGCCAAGTCCTTAATCAGACATAAGAAAACAATATTCGTATATCCTGTGAATAAATATAAAATCATAGAGGCCTGCTTTAAACTTTCTGTACAAGTCTGCCTAATAAGCTCACACATTCCGGCTGCCAGTGTTGTTCTTCCGAATGGATGCATCATGGATCATTGCCTCATATCACTTCTTGGTTTGGCTTCCATTTTTGCATTTGTGATGCGTCTGACTTTCTCCACTTATGTTTTAAAAGGACGATGAGGAGTTTACAGTTCTTGCCAACTGTCTGGGCCTATTACCATCGTCTTTTCAATCCTCGCATCAGTTTTCCAGTGCCTCATGTCTGGATTGGCCTGTGCCAGCCTTTGACATAACATCCCAGTGGTGCTCAGAGCTGGTTTCATTTGCAGTTAAACATCCAAAACAAGTAAAGGTAGGTACAGAATTTTCCCACCTCTTGCTATAAAACAATACAATGGAATAACATATTTGGCTTGCAAAGCACCATTCACTGTTGTTGGCCCCTTCAGATTTTATTCTGTTAAAGTGTGTTTTAAAAATACACATCGCAGCAAAGCCAGGGGTACAGTTAGTTTCAGAGGGTTAGCCATGTCGGTCTGCAGTACAACAGTTAGATTTGAGTCCAGCAGCACCTTAAAGACCAACCAGATTTTCAGGGTATAAACTTTTGAGAGTCAAAACTCCTCTCATGAGACACCCCCTTATTCAGATGTACAGGCAATGGCCTATTGGAAGAGAAGGAGAAGAGTAGGGATTTTTTTACCCTGCTTTTCTCTACCTTGAGTCTCAGGGCAGCTTACAGTCACACTCCCACCATCTTCTCACAACAGTCACCTTGTGAGGTAGGTGGGGCTGAGAGAGTTCTGAGAGAAAACTGACTGGCCCAAGGTCACCCAGCAGGCTTCAGTGGGGAATCAAACCCGGTTCCCCAGATTAGAGCCCACCACTCTTAACCACGCTGGCTACACCACGCTATTAGCAAACTGGTTTTGTCTTGATTGGGCTACCAGCATGATGTGGTCAGCATTTAACTGCTGCTTTATCCAGTACGGTAATCAGCATTTCAGTAACCTGTCTAGTTGATGAACAATTGAATTAGACTGTGGACGTATTTGCTAACCCCAGATGAAGCTCCAGTGATTCAAGTAGTACCTTTGCCTGTCTACAGTAGTAAGCATTAAGCTGGGACCACCTGATAGTTGAATTAGTGATCAACTGAGAGTCGGTTGCACGTGGCTTTAATTTTGTTTAGAGAAGAATAGACTACATGGTCTCCTTGTGTTGTGAGGGAAAGTATTAGTGACCTTTTTGTTACCAAACTAACAGATGGATGCTTAGCTTTAGGATGAACATAAGATGGAACACACACAGAAAATGGGCACATTTAAGGCATATAACCCCCCCCCCCCCAAAAAAAAACCCCAAACCCTCATTTAACTTGTATACTACTGGAGACTTATATGTACATTTCTTTTTTCAGATTTTATCTTTGCAGGAATCCAAATGGGATTTACCACGCCTCCTACAGTTGCCTGAAAATTACAATACTATTTTCCAGTACTATCACAGAAAGAGTTGTTCCGTCTGTACCAAGGTCCCCAAAGATCCAGCTGTCTGTCTAGTTTGTGGCACTTTTGTGTGCTTGAAAGGACTGTGCTGCAAACAACAGAGCTACTGTGAATGTGTGTTGGTAAGAGATGACTTTACCATTTTTGTTGTGAGATGACTGATAATTATCTCTTTGGAAAAGAGTGTGAATTGTCATAATTCCAGTTTGACTGCTGGTGTGAAATGCACGCTTCACCTTAGCCTCTGTCACTTGTTAGTGTTCTTTTTACCCTTAGAACAACAGGACTTTGAGAATGCTAAATGGGAGTAGCTACTTATGGTTGTTAGATCTCAGTCACCAAGTACCGTTCTTTCTAGTATTCTCAGCTCCACTCCTACAAAAACATAGGACCCTGCCTAATATTTCTTTTTCTTTCTTTCTTTTGCCATCAAGTCACAGCTGGGAGGGTGTCATTCTATGCCCCCATGTTATACTGATTTCATTCTTTACTTGACCGTAGTGAGGGAAAAAAATCAAGTCACAGCTGACTTATGGCTACCCCATTGGGTTTTCAAAGCAAGAGACATCATGACCCTAGTATTCCTAGGAGGTCTCCCATCTAACTACTAGCCAGGGCTGACCATGCTTAGCTTCTGAGATCTGGCAAGATCAGGCTAGCTTGGGCAACCCAGGTCAGGGCCTAATATTTCTAGGGAGCAAATGTTTCATGGATTTCCCCCCTCCCACTGCAGACCTCTGACCCTCCCCCATGCTGTTCCTTGTCCCCAGAAGCAGCGGGGGGGGGGGCATTTGAAGCTACAGTGGAAGGGAGGAGATGAGAAATCTGCCCTCCACTGAAAGAAATCCTTCCATCAGTGGTAATTTTCTTTTCTTTTTATAAATTTTATTTATAACTTTTACATTATACATAACGGATGCATCACATACATTAATGTATTCAGAATATCATGAGTCTATTTTGGTAATTATTTTCTATCCGTATATAAAATCTATGCCACCTTTTATTGAACACATCCTCATCTTTCACTTGTATAAACAATGTTAAATTGTCCATCTCAGCTATGTCCAACATTCTATGAATCTATTCTTCTCTTGAGGTTATTTTCTCTTGTTTCCAATATTAAGCAAATATAATACGAGCTGATGTTAGCATATATGTTATTACATATTGATCTATTTTATTACAATTATCTGGTAAAATATTTAACAAATAGATTTCAGGACACGAAGGTAAATCTATAGCTATGATTTCCAGTATAAGATTCCGTATTTGACACCAATAATTTTGTGTTACACTACACCTCCACCACATGTGGTATAGTGTGCCCACACTATGTTTACATTTCCAACAGTTTTTCAATAAATTTTTATAACACTTAGCTATTTTATCTGGTGACCAGTGCCACCTGTAGAACATCTTATATATGTTTTCTTTGTATGGTATTGCTCGTGTATATTTTATAACTTTCTATATTTTGGACCATTCATCTATGACAATGTTATAACCAAAGCCATCCAGGATATCATTGGCGCTTTGACTACTTCATCTAGTAAATACTCTTGAAGGAGGAAATTATGCAGTTTCTGAATCGTCTTATCGCTTGAAGATAACCATATTTTTTCTATGTCTAATTTCGTATCTTGGAATCCAATTTTTTTATCCTTATTATGCCTAGTTATTAATTGTACATTTTCCCACCGTCAATTTAATATTTTGTAAACATAGTTCTTCTTGAGTTTTCAGCCTATTATTTTTATCTAGTAATGTTTCATATTTTTCCATTGTATCTTTTGTTAGTAAAGTTGGTTTTATAAAAGCTTCCATTGGTGAGATCCATTTGGGTATTTTATTATAAAACTTCTCTTTTACTTCTTTCCATACTTTAATTAGGGCACCTTGTATGGTATGTTGATGGAAACTTTTATGTATTGTATCTTTATCATACCATACATACGCATGCCATCCCATAACGAGATTATGACCTTACAGATTTAAAAGTCTTCTGTTTTCAAGTGACAGCCAGTCTTTAATCCATATCATAGCTGTGGCTTTATAATAAAGTTGCCAATTTGGTATCCCCATTCCCCCTCTTTCGTTTTTATCCTGTAGCAGTTTCCATTGGATTTGTAGTTTCTTTTTTTGCCATACAAATTGTTTGCATATTTTACCTAAATCTTTAAAGATATTTTGGTTTCTCAAAATTGGTAGATTCATTAGTGGTAATTTTCAGTGGAATCCAAGCTGTGTATCCAGGAGCTCAACCAAAATGGTAGGAACATAAAAATGAGATTATTAAGCCTTGGGTTAGAATCACATGGAAGCAAGTCAGGTCAGGGCCAAAAAGGTAGTATTTATTTAAACGATTTGAAGCTACTAATAGTGGTAGCCAGGGGTCGTTTTGTAGAAAAATAGCTAGGGGGACTCATTAGCATAACTCATTAGCATATGCCACACCCCCTGACATCACCGGAAGTGTGTCATAAGGCAGTACTTGCGGGGGGCATTCCCTTTTGCTACACTGCTTATTTTCTTCTGCCTAGCAGTCCCCATATCCTTACATTTCCCTGCTTCCTTCTCTCCTTCCCAGCCACAATCAGCCAACCTTTTCTCTTCCCTTCATATACCATCTAATCAGAGGTGTCGAACTCATTTATTATGAGGTCTGGATCTGACATAAATGTCACTTTGTTGGGCTGGGCCATGTGTGCCATAAAATGTAATGCCAGGTACCAAAGAGATAAACTTTATAAAGGACACAGGCAAAACCAATTAACAATATTATTTTTTACACAAAATACAAACTTGCTTAAGACATTAACACTCTTACAATATTTCCTTACAGTATCTCCCTGATGCCCACCCTCCCACTTCTACTCTCTGGCCCCGTTCATACGAGCCCATTTGGGCCGGGAGCGGGACGGAACTGGGGCGGAGCAAACAGGCGCGATCTCACCTCAACATCTGGTGAGCGTGCCGTCTCCGTCCCTGATCCGGCCCAAATGGCAATACCCCGCTGCAAAGACGAACCACCTATCTAGGTGGTAGCAATCGTCTGGGGCGCCCCAAGCCGGCCGTGGGATCGGCGGCGCGTCCTTGCGCCGCCGCATCCCGGCCCCCGGCCGTACTGCGCATGCTCGGGCATGCGCAGTTCGGCAGCCTCCCCCTCCCATCTGGCTCGTCCTCCCCGGCGTCTGCTCTTGCCGGGGAGAAGAGGCGCTGCGGCCAGGGGATCCGTGGGATCCCGCCGCAGCGTCTCAACTTTGGAGCGGCTCTATTTAGCCGCGCTTTACCTCGTCGTTTCCCTGCCGTGTGGCAGGGGCCTTAGGCGGCCAATCAGAGCAGGTGCTACATAAATCCTAGCAAGCAATGGTATCTAACACAAGGCTCAGGCATTAGCTGCATTTAATACAAATACCTCTTCATATTGAGAACCAATAACAGTAATTCCCTCCAAAACTATGTCATCTCCTGATTGGCCTGCTACACTCTAACAGCCAACCAAAAGGAAGATCTCAGGATCCTTGCAGACTATGAAGCTTGGCAAGAAGCTCAGGCACAGAAACAATACATAACACTGGCCTAGTGTAAAAGAGTGGACTGTAGAAGTTGTGTCATTGATGATAGTTTCAGAATGTATTACTTACAGGGTTTTTTGTAGTCATTATAAAGCAAAAACTCAGCTCTGATTCCTTTCAAACTTTTGGTGTCTGACTACATAGTTAGAGATACTTTTTTTCCTAGTGAGAGTCGGTGTGCTGGAGTCATTAGAGCATCCCACTAGGCCCTGGGAGACCCTGTGGAAGCTTTCTGAGTGACCTTGGGCCACTTGCCAATCTCATCCTAACCAATGTCACGGGGTTGTTTTGAGGATAAAATGGAGGAGGATGGAATAATGGAAGACTATTTGGGGCCCCTTGTGGGGAGAAATGAGGGGCATAAATTAAGTAAATAAATAAATAGTAGTTGGGGTGCCTTGATCGAATACATATATGTCCCCTCCCCATAAATGGTTTAATTTATTTATTTATTTATTTATTTATTTATTTATTATTAGATTTATACCCCACCCACCCCCAACGGGCTCAGGGCGGCTACAACAGAGGCAATTGCCATAACAACGACTAAAACAACATAAAAACAATCATTAAACAGTATAAAACAGTCATTAAGTAAAGTGCGGTGCTCTTGATGTTAAATTTTCTTAATCCAAGATGAATTCCATTCATCAACCTAACCCGACAACAAGCATTCTTCGGTTAACTAGGAGTCTGCCCAGGGCCGGCTCACCTCCAGATCTAATCCACCGAAGAAGATGGCAACTTGGTGGTGGTACAGTGACGGCGGCGGCTCCTATGCAAAGGCTTGACGGAAGAGCTCCGTTGAATAATAGCTAATTCTAGATTGTCTTTAAAGGTCATTATGTCACAGGATAGATAGAGTTATGCAGGAAAACAAGAGGGGAAAGTTTGTACAATACCTATATTAAAGGGTGTGTTTGATCCCATTTAGTACCTAAAATAAACTCCTTCTGAATGTCTAGGTATACAGTTCTTGGTTTATAGCCACCTGACAGTGTGCACTGCACAGACTAAGGAACAATAAGACTTGATTATCATGAGGAAAGCTAATTGTTTAGTTCTTCAGAAAGTATGTCAAGAAACAGCCATGGTGATCAGGTCTTTTCCTTCTGTCAGTGAAGTCACTTTATTTAAATACAAAACTTAATAACTGGTCATTATAAACCTCTGTTAACTAATCCATGTCACAGCAAACCCATCTTTGTCATAAATTTGTTTCTGGTTTATTGCACACTTTTTAAAATGCTTTACATGGAAGTAATTCTTTTTGTTTTAGTGGAACATTTGCATAAGTGTTCATAGGGGCACTTACATCTTAGATAGCTTTCCTCCTGTTCACTGGTATTTGGAACCAGTATATTTGTAAAAGCATAGTGGCCCATAATGTTTAGGATCATGAATTCCTTCCTTGTTTAAGAAATACAGTGACAAAATGCAGAAAAGATGATATATCAAACTGTTAGCACTCTGAAAGTATATGATTAGTAATTTGATCTAATGTCCTTGTTATTTATTTTAATGCCACTTAACCGTACTTTTCTCCTCTCCTCTCTTTAAAAAAATCTTTAGCACTCACAAAATTGTGGCGCTGGGACAGGCATATTCCTTTTGATCAATGCCTCTGTAATCATCATCATTCGTGGTCATCGATTTTGCCTTTGGGGTTCTGTTTACTTGGATGCACATGGTGAAGAAGACCGAGACCTCAGGTAACTAGCTAATTCTTGCTTATGACAGTAGTTGTCAGACTCTTGTTTTGAAGGGGGGGGGGATGCCTCTGTCAAGGAGGTCCTGGCATCCCTCCCTACAAGGCTCCTAGTAAATCAGGAGAAATAGTTGTGAATATGTTACTGACCCTCTTTAGCCAATTTACCAAGCTGGTTTAGAGAGTTGTTCCCCTTGGCATCTTCTGTAGCTTTTTGGGCTAAAGAAGGCTTACAGCAGCATAAAACCTAAGAAGGAACCAACCATTAAAGAAAACCTGTGTAACAAAAAGAATTTCACAGCTGCCCAGTCAAAAATGTTATTAACTGAACACAGAATCCTGAAGAAACATCACTGAAGAGGCCGTACAGGGCTCTTTTGGGAAGGGCCTTCCAGTCGCTTTTAGAGGTCTGTAGAGTGATGGCTACCAGAAGCAAAATTAAGAAGAACTCTGGGGAAACAAAGTAAAAAAGGAGATATTTATAGGGCTGGACTAAGCAACCCAATCATTTACATGGGGCAGCAACCATGTTCAAGAATGCCAGTGAAGCTGTATGCACTCTGAGAGGGGACTCCTCTCAGTGCCATGGAAGATGTTGTGGGGGGGGGGGGCAACTCCTAGGTCTCTTCTAGAGTGGGTGCTGTAATGCAGCAGTTAACCTTGGGCCAACCCTGACTGTTCTCTGTACTGTTGATCTTTCCCCCCTCCCCTCTGCAGGCGTGGGAAGCCTCTCTATATGTGTAAGGAAAGATACAACGTGCTGGAGCACCAGTGGATTTCGCATACCTTTGACCACATCAACAAAAGATGGGGGCCACATTACAACGGTCTGTAGATCGCTACCCATCACCCACACTCTCGCATCGCCTTTACGATGAATGCCACTTTGACTGGCTTAAGCTTTAAGAGGATGGGAATTTGGTGGCTTCGCTGGGGAAAAGGAGTGAAGCCATGCCTTCCTGCGAAAGCCCTGGGTTAGATAGGTGCTGGTAAGAAGAGATTTAGTAATGGCAAAAAGAATGCAAAATGAATCAGTGCTGGTTAACTTGAGAGCAAAGCTTACATTCATTTGTCCAGCTGTTGCTTTTTAATCCATTATTAGACAAGCACAAATCATACTTTTTAAAAAAGCAGTGCCAGTACATGGCTATTGAGCATTTATTTTTCGCTGATAGAGTTTGTTTATGCTGAAAACACTGTATGGATGTAGTTACCTTGCTTAAACATATTGCTTTCCCCCGCCCTTTTGCCTTTCTTTGTGTTGCTTTAAATTTTTGCTTGATATGTATTTGTAAGTATGCAAGAGTTTGTAACACCATTTTTTTTTGTTTGGTTTCTCTGAGATTGTATAGAAAAAAAATGGTCTAAAAGATTTTTAGAGAATATTTCGCTTATTGCCAGAGAGCAATTTGAAATAGTTTCAGGCATTGCTGAAGAAAAAAAAAACTTATTCATTCTCAGGAATTTCATAGATATACTCCAGAGATTAGTGAAATAGCTGTAAAATAGGTAGCTTGCTGCTCTTATTTAATTAGGGTGCATTCACAAGTATTCTGTCTTTGCCATTTCAGAGAGCTTTTATTTTCTTGTAATTCTAACACATCCATTTTACTGTGTGCACATATACAGATTTTGTAAATGCCCGATGGTGGATCATCATCTCTCTAAAAGCGTGCCATGTTTCTCATTTCCACTTAGCTGTATGTTTCAGTACAAGAGGAAGCTGGAAACATGCTTAGGAAGCCCTATCAATGAAGCATAATTTGGGATCTGCCCTATAAGCTCAGATGGCTTCTTCCCATTGTATTTCTAAAGTTCTCTTTGCCCTTTCTGCTTGATTTCCTTAGTAGAAGAGATTTGGGGGAAGTGTAGAGGAATGAGTTAAATTGTGAAGTGACACGAGGCGAATGAATATTTTCATCATCCTCTCCTGTAAGGTATGCCAAATAAACAGCCTTACTCTGATCCGATAAAGGGCAGGTGGAGAGGTTTGTGTGCAGAGCCCCGTTTTTTTAAAAAAAATATATGCAATTTTGCTGATTAGCTGTTTGGCGTAGAAAGAGACCGAAACCGGGGTCCTGCCCCCTACTTCCTGAACAATTGGTTGCTGGATCAGAGAGGTGGACTGCATGCACAGCATCTAAATATGTGCAGTGTTTCCCAGGTAGGCAAAGAATTCACAGGTGGAAGCCAGTTTCTGCATGCTGGATTGGGGTGTTTAGTGAGCACTGAAATCCACAAAAATGGGCAGGGAAAATAGTAGATCAAGGTAATATGTTGGTGCCCCCACTCCCCCCCCCCCCCCCCTTCGTAGAGTAATCAAACATTTTCTGACTCTTTCAAACAGTACTGTTTAGGCACTTCTGATACTTGCATCCTTTGACTTGCATAGCTTTTTTTGGTAAAGTTTGTACTTAAACTAATTTTTAAAAAATGGTAGTGATAAAACCATGTATTCAATTGAAAGCTGCTCTCTGTTCAAAGGTCTGACTGGAAATCAGTTCATGAAAATAACATAGGAAACAATACAGAACAGGAATGCAGGAAAGTTTGCTCCAAAGTGCAAACTGGAAGCCTCATAGCCCATTAGAATTTTTTCATAAAGTTTAGAAGTAAAATACAGTGGTTTGCTATTTTATATAAAGCTGCGTGTGACCATAGACAATATAGATGAAACACACATATTTGGATTCTTCTTACGAGCCTACAACCGTTTCACCAACTGAAAAGTAGTCTTTTACAAAAACATTGCTACATTTTTAATATTGTATCATATGTTTAGCCTGTAATATTTTTGCATTGGTCATTTATTGAGTATCAGGCCTTTTTTGTAAGCTCAGTCAACGAGCAAAAATATTCTTGACATCTCCCAGCAAAACCCAGTAACAGGGCTCTTGAATCTGAGTGTTCTGTTTTTAGCTTGAAACTTCACAAAGAGGATAATGTCTTCAGAAAATCTGATTTTAAAAAAATGTTATTTAAAGTGGAATGTTTTATGATTGTGTATATGGGTGTGAAGTAAAATTATTAGCCTTAACTTTAAAACCTTTGTATTTCCTGGTGTTCATTTTGGTACTGGTGAATTAGTCACCGGTCAGTTTAAAAAGCAAGAGGGAAGAGAAGACACTTGTTTGGAAATTCTACTTGAAATACAACTGCATGCTGCTGAACTAGAATTTTGATTTCTCCCATAACTTTTTGAAAACTTGCTTTATTAAGCTTACTTGGGAAAACCACAGGTCCAAACTAGAATGGAATGTGTGCGCGTGTGTGTGTGTGTGTGTGTGTGGTGCTGCTGCTCTTCCTCCGACTTACTGGTGTGGTATCTTGTATGAATGATCATTTAAGTACAGTACATTACTGTAGAAATAGAATCAATCTCTGACACATCAAAAATGCAAAACTAGAAATATGGTACTCAGCATTGTAAAATATGTTAATAAAAGTCTACTGTCATTATATGTCTGTGTGTGAGCCCCTTTTGTTATAATATTAAGGTATGAAGTTTATTACAAAAAAGCAAAACAAACTGGAACTTGCCTGTCTCTCCCCCCCCCCCCAGTTGGATGGTTAATATTCAGACTTGGTCCCATATCACAGATCAGCAGGTTTAATTTCCTAGGCTTAAGAATTGTTCTTATGAGAAAATGAAGCACACTTTAACATATTTCTGTATGGTCCTGTTAAAGAGTTCAAGTACAGGTGTGCAAAAAAACCTGGTATTTATCAGGTTCGGGTATATTGAATTGCGAAAATATTGGTAGTTCCCAATATTCCCAAATCCCATTTGGATTCAGTAAATATTTGGGATTCCCGAATTTTTTTGGCGCCATTATACCCTATGGGGACCATTATAGTCAGTGGTCCCCATAGGGTATAATGGAGAATCAATCCAGGGATATCTGGGACTCTGGGGGGGATATTTTTTGAGGTAGAGGCACCAAATTTGCAGCATAGCTGCTGGTGCCTCTCCTCAAGGCCCCACTCACAAGTTTCAAAAAGATTGGACCAAGGGTCCAATTTTGTGGGCCCCAAAAGAAGGTGCCTCCATCCTCCATTATTTCCAATGGAGTGGGAAACAGTATTTAAATGGAATGCAGTCCCTTTAAGTGGCTTTTGCAAGCCAAGCCGCAAGTGAACTTCAAAGCAGTGAGTTCCCACAGAAGGTGTTTAAAGGGAAGGCAATCATTTTAAACACCAGCTATCCAGTGGCCCGAAAAATCCCAAATATTTTCAGGATTTTTCGGGCTCAGCTATTTTGGATAGCTTTAGACAATACTGAGCTTTATATTCATTTGAAAAAAATATCTGGAAAATACCAACAAGGTGTTTTCTGGGTATTTTTTGGCTCGGTATTGCCGAATGCACACCCCTAAGTTCAAGGCACATTGTGCATGGAGTTATTCCCATATATCCTCTCAACATGTTCCTTGTGGTATAATTCAACCTATGCTTTATAATCTGCCTTGTTGTCTCAGTGAGAAAGGCAGACTATGAATAATGTAAATGAATCAATTTCAGCTCAAGATAGAGCAAGTTCTTCTTGGGTTGTGTCCATGACTTTGGCTGTAGTCCTAAAGGAGACTTTCCTGGGAGTAAGCCCCATTGGTGAAAATAGCACTAACTTCTAAGTGGATCTATTTAGGATTGCTCTGTCTGTTTATGCTCCATCTGATAAAACTGACATGAGCTCAGCTGTTCTTAGAATTCAAATTTGGAGTTCATGTTTTGATGGAGAATACATTCTCACTCGCATGTATAGTAGGGATGTGCACTGGAAAAAAATTCGGCTCAATTCGGATTCGGCCAAATTTAGGGGCATCACATTCAGGCCCCTGAATACCATTTTTGGTAAAGCAAGCCGATTCAGATGGTATTTGGGGGCGCAGAATATTCAGCCCCATTATACCCTATGGGCTATTGAAGTCAATGGCAAAAACACCACTATGCTAGACTAGCTCTCAAATACTATCCATTAACCATGACTGATCTGCTTTTAGATTACAATTTAATACGTATCAGTTTACCACTTTAGAAGGGGTCACCAACTGCAATTTGATGCCATATTTACTTAAATGCAAGACTAGGTCCCCCCCCCCAAGTATACCAGCAAAGAAAAGAGGGTGTTGTCTTAAACTTGCATGCCAGTTAGTTGTATCCAGTAATAAAGCCCTCTTTGTGTATAACATTTTAAAGGGGAAGACTTCCTTTCAAATAAATACGGGAGTTGTAATTCCTACGAAAAAGTCATTGCTATCATGCAAACTGGCATTTAAAATGATAAACAAACAACTGTTAGGGTACATTGTATTACAGCAAATCAGCCTTATACGTCATAATTTCCATTTATTGGCTTGTGTTAAGGGATCGGCTTGTGCTCACCTTTTTTTTTTTTGCTGTCAAGTAAGAGCTGACGTATGGCAACCCCATAGAGTTTTCAAGGCAAGAGACATTCAGAGGTGGTTTGCCAATGCTTGCCTCTTTCTAACAACCCTGGACTTCCTTGGTGGTCTCCCATCTAAACACTGACCAGGGCCAACCCAGCTTAGCTTCTGAGATCAGATGAGATTGGGCTAGCCTGGGCTATCTGTTTTTATGCCATGTTAACTAAAGACATCTAGTAGTTTATCTCAACAGCAATGATTTTTTCCTTCTGTTTAAATTGTTGCTCACATTATTTCCCCTAAAACGTTGCACCGTGATGACTTTCCAAAGTACCTGTTTTGTTTTAGAAAAAAGAACAGCGCAGCCCTGAGAAACACATTAAATTTAGCTTCTGTTCAAATGATTCAAAATGTGCCCACATGAAAGTACCATCATTGCCAAAGCAGTTTTTCCTATCACATTGTCACTTGATGATATACCGGCTCTTGTAATTTGCAGTGACTAGAACAAGACTCTATGGAAACCCCTCATTTACTTCCTAATAAACAACCTATTAGGCCTGTAGTACTTTATCTTTCGTACGCAGCTAGTAAAACTTCCCTCCTTAGTAAAATAGTAAGACAGATAGTTATGCACTAGAAGGTTTGAGTGTTTTTCTTCCAGAATTTATGTGACAAATATGTGGAGTAACTGATCTGCACCTGCACGTACCCCAAGAAATGTGTTTCTTTGGAAAACATAATCCAGATCAATGAGTTACCTGTTAATGAATCTCAGTACACACTTCCTATAGAATGCTATTAGATGCTCCACTTTTTCCAGGTAAAGATTGCATGAGTCTTCACTGCTGTTTTTCATGGTGACAGGGCCATTT